GCAGATCCAGGGAGAGCTCCCCGATTACTTTCGCCATTCTAACTGCGCTCGAATTTCTAACGTGATGTTTCAGCAGCGTTCGACGCGATCGACGCCGCGGAGAAATTCATGGGAACATTGCTTACCAAGACTGCGATTTCGCGGCTGCCCCCTCCACCCCTCCCCTCCCCAGATTTCAAGAGTCACCGAGGGTTCGCGATTCGTTTTGTTATTTCTCGTTTTATCGAGGTTTTTAATTACGTATTTCCTACGTCGGAGACGGAGGGAAATTAAAACTCGATGGGGTATAAAAATTCATAATTTTTTTTTCTCTCTTAAACTTTCGCGCTCTGAAACTTTGAAGTTTGAAATTCGGGAATACTTAAATCGGTTTAAAAAAACGAAAAGATTTTAAACCTGCAATCCCCGGTTGTTTCAGACAGGGAACATTAAGTAAGACGAACAACTAAAATGTGAAAATTCTTTATACTCCATGCGCGAGCATTTTTGGGAAACGAGGCCGAAGAAGTGAAACGGAGAGTGCATTAATCAATTTGATATTCCTGAACTGTGATTGCTCGATTAGTAAGGTTAATTATCTATCACTCAGTTTACTTATAGAAACCGGTCTACCGGTTGCACAATTTCAATTGATCCATTGAACCTTGACACAGTATATGTGGTTTTGCTTTCCAGGTGTAGCAAGGTGCATGTATATTTAATAATGTTCCTTGCTGATGTCATCTATTCAATTATCCATGCATTGCGAACACCGAAGGGCACGCCAGATTCATAATTTTCAAAATCACGTTAACCCTCGGTTTAGTTATAATATGGTTTCAAAATAAAATTCTACAAGAAGGAGGAAGCCAAATAGCCAACAAAGATAATGGATAGTGAAAGACTCACCGTAAATGTCCTCTGAACCTTTATCTTCAGATTCCTTCGAGATACAGTGTGTTCTATCTTGAAATATATTTCAGTCACTGTCAAAGGATTACGAGCTTTCGAACAAATTTTAAATGAGAGAAGCCACCAGTGTCGGCTGGATCTTGAGCGTGCAGAGGCTCGCTCAGAACTGGAGGATACAACGACCAGCAGCACGTCAATGAAAGAACGCCGCCGCTCATTCGAGCACCTCCTGCACGTGCGCGTGCAACACGCACGCGTACACACGCTCTAACAGTGTGGATGGCATGCGTAGGGTCTGCCCTTCTCTTCGGGCCCTTCTCGGCATGACATCGGGCTATCGATTCGTTCAGACACCACGACGTTTGAACGGTTCAACGCTCTTGTGCAAAAGCTACGAATCTTCCTTTTACGATAAATATCCACTCCATCATTTTGAAACAGTCGTGGAAGTTTAGGATGGATTAGGTGCATGCAACAAATTTATTCGATTGCTCTGGGATGATAATTGAATTCCATTCATGAAGATATTAAAGTCAAATTTTATTGCTCTTTATTATCAGCAACTGTACCTCCAAGTTGTAATTATTTATTACACTTCAATGTAGCCACTTGATCTGAAATAACAGTGGATCACATCCGAGATAAATTTATTTCACCAAACCATTAATACAACGAAAGACGAAGTATAATGCACAACCCTACGAGGAACGGCACCGTTCACTCCAGCACGGTACAATAATCACGTTGCACGTGCCTAGTCGATTCTTGCTGTGAGGTTCGTAGAAACGACCGGTCACCTGTTCTTAATCGTTGCTCTCTGTAACTGGCGAATCGTCTGAAACAGGATCATTTTGTTAAAACTTTCGAAAAACTTCCACCGGCGAAGGGGAATCCCGGTTGGTTTGCTTCCTTGTAAGCCATTTCCATTGTCTTTCCATTGTTTCTTACGGGTTTTGTACTTCCTACCAGTCGATATTCTCTTTCTTTTTTTGTGGTCGCACCGTACAATGGCACGACGTGAAAAATTGTTATGTAAACTTGTATCTTAACGTAGGAATTTATGTAATTTTTATTGGAATGACTTTTGTTATATTTTGAATATTTTTTGTTTTTGTTAGAGATTTGTCAGAAAAATCAAGAGCAATTCTCTTTAAATAAAAGGAAAAAATAGTATAATTTTTGTTAGGACTTCAGGCATATTTCAGGATATCGTGTATTTCAAATTTTATAATATAACAAATAGAAATTTTCAAGCAAAAATTACATAAACTGAATTTTAGCTTGAATATAGAAAAAAGGATTGTGAATAAAACATATACCCTTTTTGCATCCTCCAGGCTGGCAGGAATATATTTTGAGTTTACTGTCTGTGCTAGGCTACTATAATCTCTGTAAAGAATGTATTGATCCTTCAGCCACTGCCTTATCGTCACTATTTTTTCTTGTAGCTCAGCAATCTCATCTTTGGCCTTGATTTTCGAACTCTTCACATCTGTTACCATAAAGAGCTTGTAAATATAATTCAAACATTCAAAGTAATTGCACTCCCTTTTTTCATAAATAAATTGAGAAAGAGAGGAACTAATTTACCAGATTTCGTAAACGCGGCAATTTTTGGAAATTCAAGCGGTTTGAAGGCAGACAGTTGAGAGAACATCGTGCCCGGATCAAATTCTAATCGCGTGTGTTCCAGCTCCATCAAGTAGTTACGGATATCATCACGTTCTTGTTGCAATCTGATTGCTGCTGCCTGCTTTCGCAAACGATGTGTTTGCCTGCAATCGAATCTCGAGTGTTTCCCATCTATTTTGCCACAATTTGATTTTCGACTCTTCGATGACTTTGATACTTTCTTGCATTTGGCCTTCTTCTGTTTCATTTTTCGATCATGACTGGGATTCTTGCCCTACGAGGATTTTTTTCAAGTGATTCGCTTCAGTTTCCAACACACATTAAAAAAGGTAACACCGTAGGATAAAAAATTGTTCGACAAATTGATTCTTTGGAAGATTCACCGTTTTAAAATTTTCTAGAGACGAATCGTCGCCGTCATAATCCACAGCATTATTGGCTGCACCTGCGGATGGAAGCTTCACTATGGTTCCACAATTTTTACAGGATCTGAATTTGTTTGGAGCTTCAACAAACGCTTGGACTCTGTTCCTCTTAACTATGGCGTTAATTGCATCGTTATTCAGTTTTCTTAGTGTACTAGTGACGTCAGATTGTTTCGGAGTCTCCCTTAGAAATTTGTCTTCACTAAGATCCGTCTCTGGACTGCCATCGTCTATCTCACTTTTTAATTTCCCAGCTGCTATTTTATTAATATATTTTCCTTTGTGGTGGTCAGTCGGTGAGCAAGTTTCCTTCTGATTCTTCCTACCATTTTTTACACTTTTTCTGAAACAGTATGGAAGATGTGTGGAAAGCGATTTGTTCCTCTGATTTTGGAGCGACTGAAGAAAATGGAGATGCTACTTACGTGGATGTAAAAGACTCCACGCTATTTTCTTTGCGTTCTGTTAATCTCTCGTGTTCAGAAACCACAGACGAGTCAGTCCTCTCCTCTGTGTTTTCGTTGGATAACTTCCTGTATTTCCTTCGACGAACGTGCTTCTTCGCCGATGTTATTTGCTTGGATAACTTTAGAAGATTGATTGGCACAGTCTCGTCGACGTCCTCTGTTGTTTTCACGTAGTTTGAGAGTTCCTCGTCAAGACCAATATCACACTCGCTGGTACTTTGCATTATTTTCGGCGCGATCAGCTCTACGATTTCTTTATCTCTAAGATACGCAAATTCCACTGTTATTATCGTTAGTTTGTAAATTATTTATTTATTTTGTAGCGGATAAAAGATTGTACCATATTATTTATTTGGGTAGTAAAATCTTTGGTCTGGGTATTTTAGAATTCTAAAATCGAGAATGAACATCACTTTTCGAGTTAAGAGTGAAGAATTTTCGAGATTGTCAACAATTAACAATCTAAAATATTCTCGATATGACAATCAGAACAAAAATTTTGCTACTCAGATATTGTAGCAAAGTCGGCTAAAATTATATCATATTCATACTAACGTTATATCTACATTTACATCTACAAGAAAGAAAAAGAAGCGAAAAAAAAAAATATATAAAAATCTTAAGTTTAATAACTTGTCTTCGTCGATCATCCTTTGGACAATCTCTGTCTGCCTATGTGGAGTAATTTTGATCTGTTTCACTCCAGAAATCATGGTATCTTCTTCCAAGTTATCCTTCAATTTCTCTTCCACAGAACTGGATGATTCAACGGAGCTGGAAACTTCTTCAAAAGTGTCATCTTCGTACGTAGCTTTTTGCTCCTCTTCGAGAGAAACTTTTCTCACAGAGATATCCTTGTTTATGGTGTTTGATTGTTCGGTGACAATTTCACTCTTTTCTTCGCTTGTCTTGATAGCTTCTTCTTCTATCGTCGACTCAGCATCATTCGATAATAGGACACTGTCCTCGGCCGCCATTACTTCCGGTTCGTTTGATCCCTCATTGCTTTTTCTAAAGGAAGTCTCGTTCACGGATTTAACCGCTTTAGAAATTATTTCAGAATCGTCTGAACACCTAGAAAGCACTGTAGCGACTGAGAAATCATCGTTGTTCCTTGGGGAATCCCCAGATCCTATCATGGAAACCTTGTATCTGGAATTAGTCTCCAAGTTTGAGAGACTCTTAGGGGATTCTTTCGATCTTGAACTTCCTTCCTGCATCTCGATGCTTACATCGTTTTCTGTTACATCTGACCTTGTTTTAGAAGATGTCTTAGGAGATTTCTTCGAGGTTGTACTGTCGTTAATTGAAGAAGATTCATCATTTTTTGCATTGATGAATGGAATCTTTATCTCCATTTTGGATACTGGAGATATCTGAAGGAGCATTAGATACAATTAAATAAAACAACTTACTAGTTTAAAAATATCAAGTATAATAAAATATAATAAAAATAATTCAGTTTCATCAAACAACAAGACATTGAAAATGATCCATCTGTATTGATCAATACCTTGGGTTTAATTTCCTTCTTTGCTTCAGTAATTGGCAGCACTAAACTATCTTGTTTGCCATTGAAGGCTTTAGACTTAACTTGCGAGCTTCTAGGAGAATTTTCCAACGAACTTTCAGTGCTGACATTACTCTGTATTCTTGTGCCCTCGTTGCGTTTTATATTATATTTCCTGTCCATTTCCTTCAGCCTCATGAGAGCAGCTGTCGCCTTCGAGTGCAACATTTTCCCCCTTTTTTAAAATATTTTTTTCTATTTTCTTTCAGATCCACTGACTCCTGTGGCCTGACCGGATCTTACTGGCTTTACTTGTAGATTTTAGGATAGCATGACCAAAGTGAAGTGCGTCTGCTAGAGCCCGTTACTAAGGGAACAATTTGGTAAACAATATGCCCCTGAAATGTGATACATTCCTCGAAGGTGTTTCTCCAGGTGATAAATGGTTACATTAACGAGGTCAAGAACCTATCTTTGATCAGGTTGGTTCATCGTGGTTTGTTCTATCTTTCATATGAACAAACAGAATATACAAACTACAAAATGAAATATGAGGGAACGCTGAGTCTGTTTTATCGACGTCTTTATATTTGCCGCAGACGAGGTAGCAAACGTAACACGTTTGTGTTTGTTATGCAAATACGCCGGTCTAGTTTCATTGCCAAACCTGAACGTACTTCCAGTTACATAATTGCTCAAACGATGTTGTGTATGATAAGTAATTGTTCAACGCAATACTTTGCAGCTTGATTACACAAGTGTCGAACAAAACTGTGGAATTCCATCGAATTTGTCAGTACTGAAAAAAGAATTAGCATCGGTTGGATAGTAGCAAAAAATATTTATTTTAACTCTTATCCAATTAATGTAATATAATTATGTATTTTGTAGTTCCATTATAATATTAATTTACGTATAGGGTTCTTCTCTGAAGGTGTTCATTTTCATGAGAAATCATCCTCATTTTTGAAACTTTAGCAAGTCAAAGTGTTCTTGAAAAGATGCGTCTATAATTAAAAAATTAAAAGATAAAAAATTCAGGAAAGATACATTTATAGTTGAAAAATTAAAAAATTTAAAAGATAAAACATTCTACCCGGATATGCACACATGCAGTTCACATCCTATTTACATAGAACACGAAAAAAATTGACATAACATTGTTAACACATATAAATGATTATATCGCAAGGAATTCTGAAGATTCTGTTTTAACTGAATAAAGAAATTCGTAAGAATTTAATTTTATTTCAAACAATAGTCATCTGACCAATAACGGTGTTCTGCTAAATTGCTATCTTCTACTATATCGACAATAGATAAAGTGAAATATGTAATCGGTGACGTGCAGCGTGACAACAAACTGCCACGGTGCGGCGCCTTGTTGGTTAAGCGTGGTTAGCTGTGATTGGTGCTCGTGCTCCAGCCAATCAGCATCCTCCATCTGTCTACCCTACGGCAGCTAATTCACCAACCACGTCCACGATTCGGGCATTATCGGCTAGTACGTTACAGAGTAAGTATCGTCGTCGACCGGACTTTCGTTGTCCCGGCGTCTAAAAATGCGGTTCTTCAGCTCATTTTGCCTTTTATTGGCGGTCACAATCGCCACTGCGGAAATCTACTTTGAGGAGAAATTCCTCGACGGTGAGTAAACACTAGTTTCGGACATTTTTTTCCTCGTCGGTAACTTCATTTCCATTTTTCGCATTTCGAAACCTCTTCGGGGTGAGTAATTCCCGGACTGAATAGTAATGTAGAACAATTAACGGGACGTCTCTCTCCGTGTTTTCTCCGGGGGAAAAAAACCACACCCATTGTTTTCACGATGAGACAGCTGCATCGGCAGAATGGAGAAATCTTGGGTTTTAGCGGGCGGTAAATTTCCAGAAAAATCTGAACTGAACTCGCGAACTAATACGAAGAGAGTGCGGACAGTATAGTTTCTCCTTGGTAACCACACACCGCCCCTGCCTCGATTGTTTCTCTGTAACCGTCGTGCTACCTATTTATGCGTGCTACAAGTTTCTGCATAATTAATGCTCGATTTCACGATCGAGCCGTTAGAATTGTTTACGATGCCATATGCCACGGTGGTAGGATTGGAAGTGCCGTGAACGTGCCATGAGAATCGTCTCGTGATGAGGGCCATAGAGCAATCTACGGCCTGCGTTCCGCCGACATGACGCGCAATCGATTGGTCGATCTGTGTTGGACGGTTGCGAGAAAAACACGACGACCAGCGAACTTCCCAAAACGTGTCACCAGCGACACGATCGTCCAAGAAAGAGCATCCTTGTAATCATAACCCGATCGACGATCAGGCGATTCTACACAAGAGACTGGGCGTCGAAGACGCGTCAAAGTAAATTTCGACGGGGTGCCTTCGTTTTCGATGGAATCGCGTTGAATGTTTTTCTGGTATATTATACACGGGTTTGTTTAATTACCGACCGAGCGCGAGTAAACAATCGGCGCGAGGCCGTCCCACATGTAAAAATAAATGAAAAGATTGAAATTTGAACAATTTGAAATTTGTTCAATTAGAAATTGGCCGATTAGAATATAGATATATTTGATAAACTTTTGAAATTCGATTTTCTCGGTGAACAAATTTTATTTTCCACATTCAACTTGCATTCCCACATGGAATAACTTCCTGCCAATTATTCCCGTCTCATCTAGAATTAGTCAAGTTCAGTTTCGCACGTTTGACCAGTTTTCAAACTTGATTTTCTCGAGAAACGTCGTTTGGGCGAAGTTTCATTCTACATTTTCAAGTTTTAAAAAGTTACTCCCATTTCCCTGTTTGTTGGGACATCCCTTCGATTAATTTCATTGTAAGATTATTTGCATACATAATAGCCAAGATATTGATTTTTATTCGATACGATTAACGACATCTAGATTATTATCTGATAAAAAATTGCCGATTAAATTCGATAATATCGAGTCTGATAAATATAAACGTCGAGATTCGTAAAATTATTATTGTACAATATTTGATGATTATTTAGTATGCGATTTTGTCTCAGCACAACGTTTTTAATATGGAAGATTTTTAAAAAATTTTTTAAATGTAAATTCTTTACAGATTCCTGGGAGAAGAATTGGGTCTACTCTGAACATCCAGGAAAAGAATTTGGAAAATTTGTTTTAAGTCATGGAAAATTCTGGAATGAGCCAGAAAATGACAAAGGTAAAAAAAAGAAACTTGTACAAAGAATATTTATACTGTATGTATAATACAATAAAACAATTGATACAATAATTCCTCTCACATGTACGCAGGTATCCAAACATCACAAGATGCCAGATTCTATGCTTTGAGCAGGAAGTTTAAACCGTTCAACAATAAAGACAAAACACTTGTTATCCAATTTACTGTTAAGCATGAACAAAATATTGATTGTGGCGGTGGATATGTAAAAGTATTTGACTGCTCATTGGATCAAAAAGACATGCATGGTGACAGTCCATATCAGATTATGTTTGGTAAGAATCTTCAACTTTTGGAAAATTATTTTTATTATAGAAACCCGAGCCTAGAGTCACCGGTTATGTCATCCTATGGCATGCTGGTGCTAATGGATCTCGGAGAGCAAATTCTCACTTATGCCCTGAATATAGTAATCATACATATTTCAGGCACTCATAAAGAGACATTAGCCTTTTCGTTAATTAAACACTGATAAAAAAAGAAAATGATATGTCAGATCTAACGAATATTGAACAGTATTTTCTGAGGTTACTTTTTCTCCGTCTGTTACAAAAATACATGTGTGAAATGTATTTGGCAGGAATCCAAGGAACATGATCATTGCTAAATGTGATGCTTCTTTATAGGACCTGATATTTGTGGACCTGGTACAAAGAAAGTTCACGTGATCTTCAGCTACAAGGGCAAAAACCTTTTGATTAACAAGGATATTCGCTGCAAAGATGACATATATACTCACTTGTACAGCTTAATTGTTAAGCCTGACAATACATACAAAGTAAGGGAGTAGAATGATCTAATCTTGTAGAAATATATATCGAGCCTAGAGTCACATGTTCTCATTGATCTACTGTGGAGAATAGGTGCTAGAGGATCTCGAAGAGCAATGATTATCTTGTTCGTAAAGTGTATATAAGTCACGTTACTTATTTACGATAGTAGCAAAGAACGACATTTCATTATCCATATATACGTATTATTAGTAATTCGTATTATTCGTACTCGTAATTATTAGTTTTCCTCTATTTAAATATTTGTATTCGTCCCTAGGTTCTAATTGATAACGAAGAAGTAGAGTCTGGCGAATTGGAAGCTGACTGGGACTTTCTTCCACCAAAGAAGATCAAGGATCCATCCCAGAGCAAACCTGAAGATTGGGATGATAAGGCCACTATCCCTGATCCAGATGACCAGAAACCAGAAGATTGGGACAAACCAGAGCATATTCCCGATCCCGAAGCCACCAAACCCGAAGATTGGGACGATGAAATGGACGGAGAATGGGAAGCTCCAATGATCGATAATCCTGAATATAAGGTTAGTTTTACAAAGTTAATTATACTGAACAAATTAGTTAATTTGAAATCTACATGTATACTGATTCCTTTATGTTCTTCAGGGTGAATGGAAACCGAAACAAATTGACAATCCAAACTATAAAGGGCCCTGGATTCACCCAGAGATCGATAATCCCGAATACACATCTGATCCAGAATTGTACAAGAGGGACGAAATCTGCGCTCTCGGTTTTGACCTCTGGCAAGTGAAATCTGGAACAATTTTCGATAATGTACTGATCACTGATGACCTCGAAGTCGCTCGTAAATTTGGCGAAGAAGTTTGGAAGCCTACTTTGGTGAGTAGGAAGAAAGAAAGTTGCGTTTAATTTGAATAGAAACAGTATGATGTTAAAGGCGTTGCTGATTTCAATGAGCGATAAAAAGCTGGAATTCCTCGTTGCTGAAGTTTACATTGTTATAATTATTATGATTTCACGTATACGGTTACATAAATTTATTCCAAGATCATACGCATATTATAGGAAGGTGAGAAAAAGACGAAGGAGGCTCAAGATGAAGAGGAAAGAAAACAGAGACAAAAGGAGAGCAAAGAAAATGAAGATAACAAGGACGATGACGAGGATGAAGATGCGGATGAGGAGGACAACAGTGTCCCTGATGCTGAAGTAAGTTTATTTTTAAAAATTTTTGAAACTTCTTCGCCCTTAATTCTCATGATGATTCTATTTAGCTCTGATTTGAACTGATTGATAAAACGGCTGGAATTCCTCGTTGCTGAATATAAAATCAGACACTTTCCTACCTTCTAAAAAAGAATTTTAATTGTATTACTAAAATTTATTTTTTTTTTCCAGGAACACGACGAATTGTAAATAATGTGTTGTGATCGACACGAACACAGACTAATATTCCAGGAGCTGTGTGGCCGCGACACGCACTAACTTTCCACAAAAAACACGTAAAAATCGTAGCAACAAGAAAAAGAGAAACTAACCATTGCCACAAAACAAACAGATCCTTTCTGACCAAATGAAAGTCTACGGGAAAAGAAACAAATAGTTATTGAATTCGTGGAATTTCAAGATCTGAGTCTCCAATAAGAGTTCTTTCATTTTTCTCTACTAGAAATTTTCACCTTCATAACTTGAATTTTCTAACCTAGTCTTCAGTCGTTCAATCGTGTTCCGTGAAATTCATCGGTGTGTGAGGTTATTGCTCTGAGTGTCAAAGGAAAGAAATCAAAGTGCTCATTACGTGCTACCACGATGTAATTGCATACATATAGGATGTATATATATATATATATATGTATGTATGCAATATATATATATATATCGTATAGAGTCATCTTGCCCCATATCTCTCCTTCCCCCTCCTATGGCACAGCTCCATGAAAAGACTAAGTTGTTTCGTTTTTGTTTGTCAAGTGTTTTTATATACAATTGAAAGATAATTGAGATGTAATTTAATG